ACCAAAAACTACTCCAAATCTATATGTTCATTTTCTATCAAATCAAAATCACTGCGAGCCTTTCATAAAACCTAACAAAATTTAAGAAAGGATATTATCTCCAAAAGTGTGCGCAAAAAGTTTTTATTTAAAAAAAAATGGTGTTTATTCAGTAAAAATGACATTTTTTGGCAACAAACGAAAAAAACTAAGTTTATACAAAATTGAGAAAATTATACTTTGTGTAGTTTTTGTTGGGCTACTTAACAAGCTTGCAGCGATATAATTTTGCCAGTAAATGAGCTAAAAAGTCAAGAGTAGTTTTTTATTATCATAACAAAGCCAAAAGTTATTGCTTTTGGGGTAAGTTTTAGGTCCCGAATTTGCAAGACAAAATGCATCATACTAATTTTGTTTAAAATTTTAAGCAGCAATGGTTTACAGCATTTTTTGTCTAAAATTAACCCAATTTGAGGAAAATGCGTTTTGAGTTTCTGGTTTCATTCCTTTTATCCGGATAATTTTATTTAGCAATATATATATATATATATATATATATATATATATATATATATATATATATATATATATATATATATATATATAGTGTTGAGAAAACCACAAACTTGGTTGAAAATTTTTGTCATTTTTTGTTTGAAAATTGGAATTTTCAATATTACTGGAATAAGTTTATGTTCTAATCTCTTATGCCAGAATAATCAAAAAGTTTGAGAATCCCTTCTGATGTTTGCCTGTCGGCACGGTTTTGCTCAATTTGATTATTCCAAAAAAATCGTTTATGAGGGTCGATTGTGATAACATATTATATCCCTTTTAGTCTTGGTTGAGGAATCAAAAAAGTGTAGCGGCGTCGAGAATAACTGGTTATAATATTTCGAGAATAACTGGTTTCAATATTTTGGGTTTTCTAAATAATTGTTACATTTCGATAAGATGCTGAGTTTCAACGCTGTATTAGTTTTTATAACCACCAATTCTAACGTTTTTCTTTAAATCGCTTCTAGAAAAAATTGACAATCGGCTGCACTTAGTTTACTACTAAACTATTATCTCTAATCGGTTGCAAATATTTTTATCGGTCAGACTTCAATTTCCATTTTTAAAAGCTTTTTGATAAAGTATCAATATAACCTATCAAAGACTTAGAGTGAACAATAAATGCTTGAAAGGTTTTTTGAAATAAAATTTATTTTAGTTGTTCGGAAGCATGCGTCATAATTTTACAACGGGTTTGTGTGAAGATCAAGGTCAACGTGTTAATTTGTTGTATTTAACAACCCCCCTTTTCTCTTTTCAAAAAAGGATTGGTTGCCAGGTTTAAAATTTATATTTGATTAACAGTTGATTTGGTTTGAAAAACGACCGCGCTCGAAAATTGGGAATTAACGACTGAATTACGCAGGGTTTTTTTGAACAAGTTTAGGTGTCTCAAAGAAAACTTGTAGGGCTCAATTGTAATATTATATTAAAATATTTTCACTCGTGATTCAGACCGGAGAGAAAATAATGGTTTAAGAAAATAATGGTCTGAATAACTTTTTGACAATTTACGGCAGTATACTCCTAGTTTCAACCAGACAGCCAGCATATTTTACAATTATTGAGTTTTTTCATCCGGCCGTTATTAAATGATTAATGAAGCTGTTCAAAAGTTAGAAACAGCAGAAATTTTTGATATCATTTATAGGGATGAAAAAGTTTCAGTTCTTGGTTTTTTTTCTTGTACTTTCTCAAAAATTGAACTTCAAGTATCTAGTCGTATAAATATATGCTATATGGAGGCAGAGCAAGAAGTAGAATGGTGTAAAAGCAAAATGGATTCAAGAGCAGAAAAGCAGAAAATTATAAATGAAAAAATTATGCATGTATTGAATAATTTTATCAAGTTTTTTTATTGAAAATGCACAAAATTAGTTTCTTTGATAATAATGTCTATTCTTATAGTGAACTTACGGAATAGCTTATAAAAACAAATCTTTCTCTGTTTTTTGCTCTTGGGTCCTTTCTGCTCTTAGACCATTTTGACTGGCCACCATGCTATTCGCACAGCAATCGGCTCTCCTTTTTCATAGCGTGTTGAAGATTCATTTCTTAGCACCTGACTGGGAAACGGGGTTTCATTAAGATCAGATGGCGGTGTATCGACTAGCATAAAGCTCGACTAGCATAAAAGTTTTTAAATTGAAAAATGTATCAACTAGCATAAAAATCTGGGTTTTTATGCACTAAACGGCCCAAAATCGGTATTTATATGTCTTTTTCAGCTCAAAGTAATAAGGTTGATCCTGATTGGCTAATCAGACACTCAAATTCAAACAAGCTGATCCGGCTTTTCATTTAAAGCTTCAAGCAGATAAAAATATTGGCCGAAATAACCAAATTTAAAGAACTTTGAATTGCTGGAGCCGTGTTACAAAATATTTCTCGTACGGGCAAAGTTTGCCGAGTTACTTGAAAAATAAGTTATTTTAAGAAAAAATTTTACATTTTGGTAATTTCAGTATGTTTTTTTATCTGCTGGAAGTCATGATTGAACTGCTTGAACACGTTGCTTGAATTTGATTGGCTACTAATAGCTAATCAGATTCGACCGTAGAAATTATAATTAAAGGTATAAAAATATTGATGACCTTGGGACGTTTTGTGCATAAGACACCAAAATCTAAACACAGAGTTCAAATTTCGACAAAATTAAATTTCGACAAATTTTACATAAATCACAGTTTGGATTAAGTTAACATCCCCGCCAGATAGACCAAATTAAGATCTTCCAGAGTTCTACAAAGAAATAATTCGATGGTAAACTATATGAAAATTTTGTAGCTATTAACGAATCTCTCCCCCCCCCCTTGCAAAGGGGGAGTAAAGAGATCCGATCTTCCACCCCAGCATTTGATTCGGATTAAACTTGCTGTATGTGAAATGAGCAATTCCGATTGACTGAAAACATCCAAATTAGAACCAAATTAACATCCTCTCCTTTTTGCAATCAATACAAGTTTCAACTGGAACGGATTATGTTTCGGATTTCTGAGAAATGAAGCTATCAAAATTATGCTAATCGATACATTTTTAACTTTCAGACTTTTAAGCTAGTCGAGTTTTCTGCTAGTCGAGCGGTCACCATAACAGATTAATAAAAACTATTGAGATCCGGTTTTTTTTGGAATCTGCTTTCACAGGAAAAAATACTTTTTCCGCGTCCTTGCAAACAAGTTTGTCGGATAATTGTCAAGCTCTAGAAAATTCATAGCAGAGCGACAAAGGATTCATCTATTGTATCCTACTTTTTAATAGGTGACAAATGTTGACCTTTGTAAAATCTGCCGAGAACTTTCATTTGTTCGAGCGATTTTTCTTCTTCACATTTTTTTGAATAAATACTTTCTTAGGAAAAAATGATGTTTTTTTTTGAAATTTGTTTTTGGAAAATGAGCAAATTGTGGGACCAAAAACTCTTTTATTACTTTAAGTTTGGCCAGTGGTGTGCGCAGAATTTTTTCTAGGAGGGGGACGGTTTTCCAAAAAATTTCTAAGACAAATTTCAAAAAAATATATGCTAAAAATGAGGTTTTGAGCATTTTTGTGCAAAGTTTTACCAAAAAATTTATTTGGCGAAGGTGCGATTACAAAATGTTTGAGGTTGGGCCGTCAAAAATGGTTGTCCTAAAACTATAGCAAAGGCGACCCTTTTGAAAGTTTTGGCAACCAGAATGTAGGGCGCCACAATTTAGGGGGGTACAATAATCATAGTCACCTGGAAACGTATCCGACGAAGCCGTAGTAGTGCAGCAGCCGACTTCCCGCCAGGAAAAAAGTGGTGCAAAAATCCACTACACACTGATTGGCGACAAAGAAGTAGCGAAACGACTTCAGTCTTGGTTCTCGGATGATGCGAACCGACACGTAGACTGATCCAGTCACTCCGAACAGCATGGACACGAGACAGATGGCGATGGACCCGTAGTCGCCCGCTTTGAGAATCGCCGAGCTGAGCTCGTTTTCGGGACTCGTTTCGTTCACTGACTCGCATACCATTTTCACACAGTATTAGATAATTTCTGGAGAAATTCCAATTTGAAACAAATTCGAGTGAAAATCAGATTTTTGCTTACGTTTTTTTTTGAAATTACAAAAGGATTTTGAAAAAGAAATTGGAAAATAAAGAAATAATTCAACTTTTGGCTCAAATATCAATGCAGCAGAACAATAATTACTGAAAGTTCGATTATACGTCACATATTAAAAGCAGGAGGAATGTTCCACGAAATGGTCTGAAAATAAATTTTGATGAGTGAAAATTATGAAGCGTTGAATTAAAATTGTTGGTCGAAATTTGGGGAGTTTATTTACTAATTACCCGTTCTTTGTAGGCGGAAAAAAATAATGATGGCAAATTTTGGCCACAAAAAGAATGACCGATAAACTTTTTGCCAAGATAAGTCTTTTTGTGCTGAGGTCGTAACAAAATGATGACGCTAATTTGACGAATTCTCTTTTAAAATAAAAAGATTCACAGGAGATTTAAGCGTCAATTTAGATGTAAAAAGCGCTATAAATAATAAATTGATTTGAGATGGAAAAGTGATAAAAATTGAGGAAGTTTTCTCGGCGGGCGCCAAATAGTAAATGAAAAGAAATTGTCTTCAAGCTTTGAAATGTGACAGAAAATAATAATGAGTGGGTATTTTTTAAGCGTCAAATTATGAAGCGGCGAATATTTAGGCCATCAATTTAAAGCCGCATACCTTTGCCGGGTTTCGTTTTGCTGAGGCACATTAATTTTTTTTTTACGAATTCCGTTATTGGAAAAAGTGTCGGCTTTTTTCATTGGATATTCCAATATTTTTTTTCTTAAATTCTTCAATAGTGAATTTAAGCGCAAAAAAATAAGTGAAATTTGAAAACTAAGAAGTGAATATCAAGTGTAATAACTAATGATTAGGAAATTATAAATAGCTCAAAATTCAAAGTTTGGAAAAGGTGAGAAGCAAGTATGCATTTAGGCGTGAAATTGGGCTTGAACTCTAGTTTGTTATTGGGATAAATAAACATAAACAAGGAATGGAAGTGAAGAGAACTGATTGCTGAGAAACAGAGAAACACCTGAAAGTAATTGAAATCATACCCACAAGAGAAATCTAAATTTGCGTTAGTCCGGACTATGGAGACCAGACTATTATAAAAGTTATCCAGTCTGGAGGAAAAAGTTACCCATGCCAAATTAAGAGAAGAAGTGGACAGTAAAGTCTATAAAAATCAACTGTGATAGGAGGGTGAATATCAATGCAGTGAAGATGCCGAAAAAGGAGTGGGCGTTATATTTGAGGTCTTAAAATAGACGCTGATTGTCTTTAGGAAGTGTAAAATAAAACCTTAAGGGGTTCGAGCGTTAAATTCAAAAAACAGACGCAGTGCAAAAAAAATGTTCACTTTTCTGAACTTGGTTATCTTCTATTTTTGTTGGCAAATTTTCACGTATCCAACGTGACATAACATTGAGTTGAAATGACATTGAGTCTTTCAGACTTATTTGACGAACAAAGGTTCGTTCTGAATGTAACAATTATTCGACTCTTTGCCGCAATTTCGACTCAAGTCTGGTGAAGATGAAAAGCGACGCCTCCAAACAGCAGGAAGTCGAACCGGGGCTGAAAGAGGAAGACAAAAGAACTCTCACAGAATCATATGATAACTCAAAGCATTGAATCCGAATTGAATTGAAATAAAAATATCTGAAACAATAGATCGCCGCTGTTTAATGGCGCGTTTTAAGGTACGACAATAACAAAAAACATCAGAGAAATCAGTTATTTTTGAAACAAATTACGTATTTGTCACCATAAAATCATGTTTATAACCTTTCATATATATTTTTTGCATATAAAGACGCATAAAAATGCCCTTTAGAAATGTACTTCGTAGGAATCTTTCATTTACCTATGAACTTAATTTAGAATCAGATGTTTTAGAAAAAGAAAAAAGACTTCTTTTACTGAAACTGCTAAAGATTATCTTCTTTTAAAAAAAATAAAAGATCTTCTTTTAATAAAAAAAGATCAAATTCTAAATTCTTTTCTCTTTTTTTTCTAAGCAATTTAATTGGCCTTTTAACAACAATGAGATCATGTCAAAATTAAAAAGTTTTTTTTTGTCCCAGAATTTTTTGTCGAGCGACTTTAATCTTTCTTTGAGGGCGACTTTTTGTTCGATTATTTGCATATGAAACTAGATAGATCAACCTACGAGAGAAGGAATAAATTAACCTGTTTGTCAAATTGCACTCAACAATTAATTGACTTCTATAAAATTTGACATTAAATGCTACTTAATGTTCGCGAAACAGCTCATAAAAATTCACAGCTTTACGGGTTTCATTAAGAAAAACAAAATTTCATGAGTTACTTAAAGAAGCCGTCGTTGAGGCAAAATGGTTCCCAATTATTGTTCTTCCCACTATTTCACTCGAAAACATTTTGAAAATGCCATTTTTGCTTATTTGGTATATTTTATGAAAAACTGACGTTTTTGATATGGCCTTTCACTTTTTAGTGCAGTCTTTAACTATTTTAGGAGGGCTATCAAAGTCAATCCAATTTGCCTAAGACATATGTAATCAAATTAAAAGGAGCTTGGTGGAGAAAAATGGGGAGGTACTAACATAGCTAGTAATTTTTCCAGCGTTTATGCTTTTTTTTTGTGTTGTTTAGGACTGGATTCTCTTAATCAAAGCTGAGAATTTTTTCAAATTTTACTGATTATTGTATTTGGTTGAAAAAATGGCCGTTTTTTGCTTTCAAAACAGCCGTTGCACAAATGGAAAAAATTGAAAAAATCAAAAAAAAATACGCAGAATGAAAAATCTAAAAAACGTTTTTTTTTTTTTTGTAAACAGTTTGCAATTTTTTTCCACATGTCTGCTGAGAAGATCAATAATTGGACAAACATAAATAATTGTTTTTACTTGTTTTTGAATAGTTAATTGAAAATCATTGAATGCCTGATCAACATTATCATCATCAGGACACAACTATGATCAATTTTGAATTCCATAAGAGCTGGAAATTTAAACAAAAAGTCAGCTGGCTGTTGGAACACCCAATATCTAGTTAAGCAACCACAAATTGTCTCATTATATCAAAAATGGAAAGTGCTATAAGATTGTCCGAAAACGAATTCATCATAGAATAAACATGAATTTTAAACTCAGAGTTTTTTCAGACTTTCAATCGGATATTAAATTGGTTTTGTAATTACCAACTTAATGGAGTCGGAGAATTGACAACGAATGGTAATTTTAAGCATTAATGTGGAAGTGAATATAAAATCTCACACGACTGCTCCTATCATAGCGAACCCGAAAAAATTTCTATTGCCTATTAAAATCAATCAAAAGGTTTTTGATTTTAAATAAAAACAACAAACAGGGACTACAACAGGGGCGGATCTAGGTTCTCGAGGGGGAGGGGGTGTGGATTTTCAAAAAATTTCGAAATTTTGTCGACCTTTTTTTTAGATCGACCAAAATGGTTTTCCCAGAGCTCTCCAAAGCTATAAAAAATCCCCTTTTTGGCCAAAATTTCTGCGCTGTAGGCAAAAATTGGAAAAAACAGGCCAAAAAGGCGTTTTTGGGAACTTTTTGGAAAATTTTAAACGAAAAATCGCGTTTTTCTGGCGCGCGCTCCCCCTTAAAATAAGTATATACTGGTACCAAAGGCGCCTTAAGAAAAATTTTAGGGTCCGTCAGCAAAAAATGGATATCTCAAAATAGTTCAAAAGGGGGATTCTTTGGGTCGGTAGAGGGTCGAATTCCTGGGGGTGGGGCGTCCGCTCCTTGCGCTCCCCCTAAATCCGCCCCTGGACTACAAAACACAATTTTTTTCATGACTAATTCTGAAGTTTGTACAATAAAAAACATTTATTTATTTAAATCAAGTTGATAATTCTCGCGTTTAATAAAAAAGTTATAGAAAAAAAACTGCTCGCTTTAATTAATTTTGAAAAAAACAGCTCACCACTTAGGGTTCAATATGACAAAATTTATTGCGCGTTATTAATCCCAATTTTAATTATAACAGTCACATTAGTCCCAAATTCAAACCCGTTTATATTGTAAGAAGTGACCACCAATAAAATATCTTGTCAATTTTAAGCCCTCGGAATCAAAATCTCTCAAACTTTAGAAAAAATTTTGCTAATAGTGAACAAAATTTGCTCATTAAAACCCACTACGAGCACAAGTATTCCATTATTACCTTCGAAAAACAGAGAAAAGAAAAAGACAAGTATGAAAAAAAAGAGTTACCACAAAAATTATGTGAAAAACAGTTGTCTAATTAAATGCAAAACTAAAATTGTTTAGCGAAATCTGATAAATCAAGAGGGTTTTCTGATTTAATAATAAAAATTGTCGGCTGAAATTATTTTTGTTGTAAAAATGCATAGTTTATGTTTATTCTACAAATCCCACATGAATTAGCGAGCAATAAAATCCAATAAATTGATGTTCTCTTTTCAACAAAAAGGACCATTTTAAAGATATGCCTAGGAAATTGGCATCAAAAACAACGCTTTTAATAAAATTGACAACTTGTCGCTATTTTTGCTCTAATTATCATCCACCGCTATCATCGACAGATATCATCAACAGCTATCATTAACAAAATTCATCTCAAAAGCTAAGAGGAAAAAAAAAGAAAAAAAAACAAGAGAAAATGAGAGCCTATGTCATACATTTTTACCTAAAAAAGTTGGATTGGGGGCTAAATGCAAAGTATTTTGATGCCAAATGTAAAGTACGTAGCACATGTTGTGCAGAAGACAACTCACAAGTTAAGACAGCTCGCACAGTTTGATCATTGGTTTAAAAAGAGTGGTATAGTCAATTAACAGACGCTTCTCCACTTTTGCTGCGCTTAAATTCTAGACGAATTGTATAGGGCATGATAATTTTGCCGACTTTCGTAACGAAAGAAACGAAATATTTGTGCTCGGGGAGGGTTTTTTTTCTTCAGACAATTTTCGACTTTTTAACAAGCCATTTTTAGCAGAATATTTTTATATCATCCAAAAGATATTGCTGTCTTGAGCTTAAAATTGAAAAGATATTTTACTTGTAATCATTTTTTGTAAAATTATGGCCATTTCGGACAATTAACGCGCGATATATTTCGCACTATTAACGCGTAAGCCGAGATTTAATCAGTGTTAGAAATCGTTCCAAGTTGTTTGAACGAAGCTTATTTGCCATAGCTGATTTGTTACTAGGAGCGAAATCTATCACTTTGTATTTTATTAGGCATGTGGGGGATGATTTTCACAAAAAATCTCAAATTAAAAAAAAATTCATTGTATTTTTATATATTTAATTTTTTCTTGTTATTACTGCTCCATAAAACTTAAAAGGCAGTCGGTACCTTCAGGGTTTCGCCCTGATACGAGCAGTCTTGTTAGAGTTTGCGGTTTATCTATCTTATTTGGTTTGATAATTCTACAAATTATAAACATAGCACTGCGGTGCTGCCCTTACAAAAAAGGGACTAAATGATGAAAAGCTTTCTTACAATCACAACTGTCGAAAATTGTAACAAGTTCCTATCTGCTGAATGCTTCATGTAAAAAAAAGAAAACATAATTTGATCTCTTTTAACCTGTCGAAGGCCTGGTGGTGGGCGCAGTTTATCATAAGCAGTTTGTCTCAGACTTCTGGCGAGCTCGCAACACGTATCAGCACATGAATTGATTAGTATTCGGCCAATAATTAAGTTGATGCCACAATTTATTTTGTCGCCTTTGAAATATTTACAGTTTTTTCAAATTTTTGATTACTCAATTCTGAATAGCTGTCCAGTTTTTTCATTTCCGCGAGTTTTTTCTATCTGATATTTTGTGCGGGTTGTTTCTATGTTGCAACCCGCACCGTGCGCCCATGGATTCTAATCGATTATAATGGATTCCCGAGACAAAAATAATCGATTATACGGTCAGACACGGCAGTTACAATGGCAAATGGTATTCTTAAACAAAAAAGACGTTTTACAAGTTTTTTGAGGTGCATAATTCAACCCCCCCAGTAAAGTAGACTTCAAATCTAATGATTTTAATAAGTCCTCTTTGTTTGCGAAAACCATTAACCATAATAGCTGCCCGCCTCGACCAATTAATTGAATTAAATGTTTCCGAGAAAGACAACCACCCGCCGCTGGTAAAAGTAAAAACTGGTGAGTGATTGTATCGATGTGCAAAATTGATTTTAAAATTTTAAAATAATTTTACGAATGACTCATGGTACCTGGGTACACTAATAAATGAGCAAAATAAAGCTAAATTTACATGTTTGGTCTCAAAATGTCTTTTTTGAGGTCGCTTAATTTTAAAATTTTTTGATCGAAAATTTGAAAAAAAAAATGTAAAAATATGAAATATTGTGAAAAAAGGCAATCCGAACTATAACAACCAAATAACATTGTAAAACCAGATAAAACTCTAAGTGATGGCCGCCGAGCGTCTAAGCATTTTAATCGATTATAATGGATCATAACTCAAACTCAAATGTTGTGGAATAAACATACAAAAAAAAATCGATTATTATGGATTTTATTGCTTCGAAAAATAGTGTCATTATAATCGATTTTTAATGGATTATAATCGATTATTTTGTAATTTCATAGACACTGTCTATATAATGACAATATAATCGATTAGGATCTATGGGAGCTCG